TCATCACGGAGCTGTTATTTATTAATATACACTAACCAGAAAACAAAAATATAACCTAAAAAATGAAGCACCTTATGTTTTCAGTGTTCCTAAATGGTTAGCTTTAGAGATAGGGAGCAACTCGTTCTCCATGTTCCTCCTGTGCACCTCCTCCAGAGTGACCCTAGGAGTCAATTCTCAATAGCAGAATCATCTCCATTCACTCTGATTGGCTCTAATCAGCACAAAAGGTAAGAAGACTTTTTTCTCATTGGCTCCCCTTTCATGCTGATTGGATGGCTCCAGGATGCTAGAGACAGGCACCATTCTGGGGCGCTGCTGCAGAAATAGTCATGGGCCTGACCCCAGACCACTACACCTATGGGCTGAGCTGCTTTTTAAGGCATGGGTAGGCAAAGTAAGGCCCAGGGGCAGGATCCAGCCCAATCGTCTTCTAAGTCCGGCACGTGGACGGTTCGGGGAATCAGCGTGTTTTTACATGAGTAGAATGTGCCCTTTTATTAAAAATGCATCTCTGGGTTATTTGTGGGCCATAGGAATTCGTTCATCCCCCCCCCCCCCAAAAATAGTTCGGGCCCCCACAAGGTCTAAGGGACAGTGGACCGGCCCCTGCTGAAAAAGTTTGCTGACGCCTGTTTTAAGGCATATCTCACCCAGACCTGAAAACATGCATAATTCTTGGGCAAAGGTATAAGCCTTGAATGTCCTCCTTTCTTTGTGGGTGGAGCACACTTACTCCAAGGCAAGTTGAAGGAGTGACCACCCCAGATTTCCATCAAAGAGAGTTATAAATGAGTATCACTACAGTTTTCTAATTATTGTCTTTGCAAGTTCAGTCTGAGAGGAAACACATTAAATATTTTTGTTTATTGTTTTGCTTATTGTTATATACCAAATAACGGTCAGGCTTTATTAGAAGGATCAATGCAGCAAACGAAGCAAGATTGAGACTGGAGCTGTACACATGCCTGGAAAATGCCCTTGAGAATAATAATAAAAAGCAATGTATGTCCTTGATCACAACTTGGCCACGTGTTCCTTTTGCACACTTCATGTGTCTCTTTTAGGATTTGGAAATTATGAAAGAACTGCTTCCCTAGAGCAGTTTCCCGACAACAGCTGCAGGAGCAAAAGCATCATGCTCCTTTTTAAAATATGAACTGAGTTACATTATAAAGGCTAATGCAAGCATTTTCATTCAGTGCTTTGGAGTAGCTAAAGACCTTTTCACGCTATTGTGGGTGCTATTAAAATTACTCATTTGATGCACAGGATGCAGACATCTTCCTTCAGGGTAGTGTTTCTGTTGTAGGAGTATCACGGTTCTCTCCCCCCCCCCCGGCACTTACATAGAAATATTTTGTTATTGGGGTGTGTGTACCATACCCCACTTCATCAAGAGCATTCATTATGGTTTTGAATGCTGTGCAGAAATGCTCCAATGAATGCCATTAGTGTGCCTAATGGGTGGCTGCACTCCCTAGCTCAGAAGGAGCGAAGATGGAGGGGAGGGCATGATAGCTGTCTTCAGACATCTGAAAGGTTGTCACAACACAGACGATGGAGCAGACTTGGTCTCTGTTGCTCCAAAGGGCGGGCCTAGGACTGATGTATGGCAACTTCAGTGAATAAAATTTGGGCTAAAAATTTGGAGAATCTTCCTAAGAGCCATTGGCCCCAGAAAGTGGTGATCCAGCCTTGCAAATTTCTCCTTCAAAACACTTTTCTGGCGAAGCAATTTCTCCCAATATAATGCAGTTTTGTCTGTTGTCTTCACTATTGAGTGTCGAGACCCTGAGACCACCCCCTCGTTGATGAATAAGACAAAAGGACACAGATATCAGGTTAATGTTATTGGGCAAATTTAGGCCACAACTTTATTGGTTACAGAATGTGAGAAGTATTGGCTTAGGCACTGGAATTGACCCAACTATATGTGACTCCTGCCTGTCACGCAGGGAGTCCAGTAAGGGTCAACCACCGGTAGGGGGAGCCCCGTCAATGCAAACCAACTTGAGCTAAGGAACGGCTTGAGCTAAGGAACTTGAGCTATGAGGAACGGCTAAGGGAGCTGGGCATGTTTAGCCTGGAGAAGAGGAGGTTAAGGGGTGATATGATAGCCATGTTCAAATATATAAAAGGATGTCACATAGAGGAGGGAGAAAGGTTGTTTTCTGCTGCTCCAGAGAAGCGGACACGGAGCAATGGATCCAAACTACAAGAAAGAAGATTCCACCTAAACATTAGGAAGAACTTCCTGACAGTAAGAGCTGTTCGACAGTGGAATTTGCTGCCAAGGAGTGTGGTGGAGTCTCCTTCTTTGGAGGTCTTTAAGCAGAGGCTTGACAACCATATGTCAGGAGTGCTCTGATGGTGTTTCCTGCTTGGCAGGGGGTTGGACTCGATGGCCCTTGTGGTCTCTTCCAACTCTATGATTCTATGATTCCCCCTGGGTTCCCGACGGGATCGTGGCATGGCCCTAGCCCAGCCCCGGACTTCGGTCAATATCCACACCCCTGGATTCCTTTAACAGAATACCCTTAAGCTTGGAGGGGCAGGTGATGGCCACACCTCGCCTCCCCCATCATAAGATCAAGGAAGTGAGCCAAGAAGAAGCTCTCTGGCTCACACATCAGTTTAAATGGGGCCCAGCCATGCCCCCCAGCCAGCGGATTGGCTGGCAGGCGAATGACATGGCTGGGAACCTCCAAGGGATGCAGGGCTTCGTCACCCACCCCCGGGGGGAAGTGGATCAGATTTATATGCACTTTATACCTTAGAGTTTTTAATTGTGCATTTTTGTATCGATTATTTGGCTGGAGAACTGAATTGCAATATTCAGAGAAGTGTGAATTTCAAAAAGCAGCCATGTCCAAAAGTGGATACCATGTAGAAGCTTGCATTGCAATACAGACATATTATTCCCTCTCTTTCTTGCCTCCTACCGACAGGGCATTCTTTTTGCCTTACTGTATGTTACTCTGTAAAGTACGTTGATTGGACAATGATGATTATAATAACATCACAAAATGGAACGTGGGAAGCACTCCTGAAACAGAGAGGAATTTGTGTTCTGACTGACGTGTATACAGAAGAGAACAGTAGCCCCTGTGGAGGAACTGACCTGTTGCCCCTTAAGCAAGTGTGAATAAAGAATGCGATGCCACACAATTTAAAATGTAATCTTCTAACAGAATGGCTAGGTGGGAACAGTATGGCATTGTGCAATTGGATGCAGAAGTATATCCCTGTTTTGGAACCTTGAAAAGAGAAGGCGAGTGGGTACATTGCAGCCTCTTCTGCAGGAGCCACAGAGCATAGGCAATTTAACTGGTCTATAGAAGTGTTTTCAACAACTACTCCACAACCAATGAGTTCCAGTACACTGGCGCTTGTAAGAAAAGAGTTTCAGATTGGAACAGGCGCAAAACTCTCCTCTCAGTTAATAATAACGTGGTTTTTTTTTTAAAAAAAAACTAAGCAGGAGAGATTGAAGTCATTAGGAAGTTAGAGATTTACTTAAGCCAAGTATGAAGGTATTTCAGAGGCCTGGAGATAGATTAGTGAAGGGGATGGGGGCAGGGGGAAGTATCTACGTAAATAGGCTTATGATTAAAAGCTGAATTATTGAACATAGTTAAGAGGATTTAAAAAAACCAAAAACCAAATAGTTGAGATAAGAATATCTCTGCTGCTATTAGCTGCCAGAGGTTTATCTTCCTACAGGAATATTTACAGCATAAAAGAAAGATCACAAAAGGGGAAGCCTGTTGTATTTTGATGTATGGCAAGGTAGGGGAGGGGCAAATGTTAGCCCGTCTGCTCCTTTGCCTCACCTAGATTGGCACCGGAGGATTGTTTGCTGCATCCAGGTGAGAGAGATGCAAAACCAGACTATACTCCAGAAGTAGGCCATACTAATTTTTGATGAAGCAAATTCCCACAGCCAGAGAAGCGAGTCAGCAAATTCCCACTGCTGGAAAGACAAGCTATGGGCCCAACATAGAAATATTCTTTCTTGTGTGAAGGGATAATGTGTAAAGCGCTTGGAATGGATGAAATTGGCTGCGTAAATGCTTCATCAAACTTTTTCTTTTTAAATTAAAGCAAACGTTTGCATAATAAAGTTGTTTAAAACGTGTTTGTGAAATGAATCAGAGCAATGTAATTTGCAACTCAATCGAAAGAGCTGCTCTAGTGGTTAGGGGTGTTCATGGCCACAAGATTCGATCGGGACACTGATCCAGCACTTCAGAAAACAGCCAGATTCCAAATCCCAATCCCAAGAAAATTAAGCTTTTTGCTCTCTCCATTTACTGTTGTGGTGGAAATAGCAAAATATTTTTCTTATTGACAAATAGGATGGAATTTGCAGGCATAGTGTCCCCCTCCTTCAAGGATAAAGACTGTTAAATTGCAGAGAGTTCAAAGTTTTGTTGTGTGTGTGTTGGGCACCTTTGAAGGTTTTTTTTTTTTTAAAAAAAGGGAATTGTCTATAATTTTTTCTTTCTTTTTGAAGAATTGGATGAAATTTGCAGGGTTCTTAGCCCCTTCTTAGATGATGAATATTGCCAAATTCTGCAAGGATAGATTCTACGGCTTTCCTGCAACGGCTGCCTTTACAGTTTTTGTAAACTTGTGTGGACTGACTTCTAAAAGTTATGATGGCACACAAGGACCCGAGAATCAATGCTGTGATGTTTTGCTGCCACCACAAGCTAATGTGTGGGCACCATCCTTTTTCACATGAGAAATCGCCCAAACTGTGTGGTACAAAATTGGATAAACATAGTTTCATGGGTTGGTTGGACACAAAGGAATGGTGGGAGGAACCAGCTGGAGAACCACCAAGGGAAGAAGGCTCAGAGCCTGGGGGACTGGTGGTGGGATGAAGATGATTGGTCAGAGGGAGAACACTGGTAAGAGAAGGTGTTGGAAGCTGAGGAGGTAACAGAGCTCAGTGAGCTGTGGCAGAGAGAAGTTCCAGAATCAGAAGCTGAAGCAGGAGAGTAGGATGAGAGAAGTCAAAGAGGCAGAGATGAGTCAAGCTGGTGAAGAGGTACGAGTATATCTCCCTTTCTGCTTTGATAAGCTCCCTCCCCCTTGTCTCCCAGAACCAGAAGAGGTATGAAGAGGGTGGTGGAGAGATTGGCTTCATGTAGTCATCATCTCCGATTGCTTAGGGAAAACCATAGAGAGGAGGTGACTTAGACAGCTGTGGGAAGGTGAGGCCTTTCAGTCTTGGCAACTGATCCATGTGGCAAGACCTACTGGGCATGAGCTGCTGTCCTCATTAGGCCTGACACTCCATCAAGTCTGTGTAGACCATGTTCTTTCTAATAAAGAGTTAACTCCAACTTGCACGGTGTGATTTACTGCCGACTCGCTTCTGACACATAGGTAGGACTGAATCCGACTCAAGGTCCAGGCTCATGAGAGTTGTGGGATCAATTTGACTAAAGGTTATTTTACTTTATTTCTGTAGAAGATTTAACTTTATGTAGAAGATTTAACCAAAGAGCTCTCTAAGGGGTATACAAGTAAGACTGTATAGAAAACACAAAACAGATAAAAACAGATATACACAAAACCACCATCATTGAAACACAAATGCAATCAGCAAAACTTTAAAAACAAATATAGGTGACTAAATATGATGGAATAGGTTTGCCAAAACAAAATAAAAGTTTCCAACAAGTGAGGGCACCTCAATAGGCAAGGGAGCTCCAAAGTTGAGGGGCTGCCACAGTAAAGAACTGACTCCCTGAAAATGTGGAGTGGACATTTTGAAGCAGTTGTAAATTTGGACAATTGAAGCAGTCAAATAGGCTTATATGGGGTAGGGCACTCACATCAATTTCTTGCAAGCCTCTCACTCATGGAATGGTGTGGTGCTGTTAAAGCAGAAAACAGACTCTTACCTTTCTCCTGGCGCCTTCCACACATAGCCTGAGGCCTTGTTTTAGTTTTGTTGCTGCATTTACTCCAACACTGTGTACAGATCGTCCTATTGTTGCTGTTTGAATAGGCTATTTGCCTCTCGGTTTCCTTTTACTGTGAATTGCTTTGATGTGATTTCATCAGAATGCGCCTCGAGAGCTATTATGACTGAAAGGCATTATATAATTACTATTCACGAGTTGGCTAGTGAATAGTGAGCAAATGACCTTCAGGGGCTGCTGCTCCTCTCTTTCCATCTCTCCCTTGGGAAATATTTCCCATGTGCTCACCCTTTAAAGGGAGTGAAGTCTTATATTCGTTTAGCTGTTTTTCTCCTCCAGCGCTCCAAATCTCTTTCAAGGAAGCCTCTCTGAAAAGCATGAAATACAGCTCTGGGAGCCCATACATTTCCTTCCTCAGGGTTAAATCAAGTTTTCAGTTATTTCACAGCCATTGGACATATTTATGTAGCTCAGGCCAGAGGGGGACTTAGAGCACTTTCACTGAGAGTTGGGATATGCAGGTCCCAGTTCAGATTTTTTGGGGGGCTGGGAGGAGGGGCAGGACCTGCTATTTGACTGCTGTGCATTGACTCCCTTCAAGTTACTTTGCATAGGTGTGAGTGAGGAATCAGCCTCAGAGGAGTGAATATAGTAGCCATTATATTTCCCAGTTTCTGCTTCCCTACTGATCCTCTGTGGATAGTACCAGCTATCAATTACCTCGTAAATTGGAGCAGGATGTAGGCACAGCACCTTATCTTTCCATACTGCATACAGCCTTCTTGCTAGGCATACATGAGCCCACCTGGAAGAGATCCATTATTATTATCAGCTGTCCTTGCTTTGCCCTTCATGGAAAGCCCCTGCTGCCTCTCACTTTCCTGAACATTTCTCTTTTCTTTAAGAATAATTTTTTATTAACCGACCAATCACATCAAATCAAACCAAATTACATAAATTCCAAATTACACAGCCGAATTTTAAGCTGAATGGGGCTGAATGGGGGGGGGTTCTTGTAAATCACATAGAAGGAAAGTAAAAAAGGTTTCCCCCCCCATTCAGCCCCGTTGTCAACATACCCCGCCTTTGGTGTATCTTCATCGTAAAATATTCCTGTTTCTCCAGCCCGTCGTCTTCTTTCGCAGAGGTCACTTAAATTAGCAGACTTCACTCCCCTTCTTCACTTGAAATATGTGCATTTGCTTCTTTTGTAATTAATTATTCCAAATTGCTGCAACTAGTGCGTGATCAGAGACAGCGTCCAGGAGAGCCGAGGTCCACACGGGTGCATTCTGCCTAGGGCCCTCACCCCCTTCTTTCGAATTAGGGGGTGATTTATGGGCACAGCAGGCAAGGGCAGTGTTCCCCATTTCCTTGGGGCAACAAGGAAGGCTGCCTACTCCCATAACAGCCTCTTAATTACCCCGTGTGGGTCGGAGAGATGGTATTGTCGGCCATCTTCCAATGCGCCCCCTAGTGGCCCCCCGCTTTCCTGAACATTTCTGCCTGAATGGATTTATTTTCTTCGTATTAATACAAGGTTGTGTGTGTGTGTGTGTGTGTGTGTGTGTGTGTGTGTGTGTGTGTGTGTGTGAGAGAGAGAGAGAGAGAGAGAGAAAGAGAGTTTGAACTCTCTTCATTTGTGGTATTTTTGTACCCTATAATGTCCAAACATACAATGAATTTCTCATACAGTGCATTATTCCTGTTACACTGATGACAGCCAGACCATTGTTATTTCGGTCGGAGCAAAGCCATTTGTGATATTGCAGGCTTTTTCTTCTGTTATCTGCAACTGCTTTCCCCCCTTGGTTTTCCTCTTTGCCCTCATAGAATCTGCTTTGGGGGCTTGGGGTGTCTCAAATAATGTATGGGAGGCTGGTGTGGCCTCTAGCAAGTATCTCTTGATGATAGCAGCAGCAACAACACATATTTTTATACCCCACCCATCTGGCTGGGTTTCCCCAGCCACTCTGGACAGCTCCCAACAAAATATTAAAAACATGATAAAACATCAAACATTAAAAACTTACCTAAACAGGGCTGCCTTCAGATAGTTGCTTATTTCCTTAACATCTGATGGGACGGTGTTCCACAGGATGGGACAGTCTGCAAGCAGGTAGGGTCTCAGCCCACGTACCAGATGGAGCTGGTAGACACAGAATTGACCTGCGCCTCTATGGACAGCTGTGAGTCGAAAATGATTCCCAGGCTGCACACTTGGTCCTTCAGGGGCACAGTTACCCCATTCAGGACCAGGGAGTCCTCCACACCTACCCGGCCCCTGTCCCCCCCCAAACAGTACTTCTGTCTTGTCAGGATTCAACCTCAATCTGTTAGCTCCCATCCATCCTCCAACCGCCTCCAGATACCAACACAGGACATACATAAAGGAAAGGCAAAGCCAAATAGAATAATTACATTGAACATACTCATTTCACAGCTACAAACTTTAAAATGGAGCCTTTAATTGAGCTAGGCTCCCTTTAGTTGTGAGTAAGTGGATGGATATCATATGAGTAGGGTTGATTCCAGCTCATGCCATGAAAGAGGAAGACAACATGTTTCTGCAAACAATTAAAAGTGCAGTTGATGAACGTCTAAGTTTCAATTCAGGGCTAGGAGACAGGTGCCTATGCTGTCTTCAGTTGTTCATGCAGAAACTGAGCACAATCTGATTAGTGGTTAACAACCTTTATTACCCATGAGGCCTGGAAGCCTGCATAGAGGAGTAACTAAACTCAACAGCCAGGCCACATCTCTGAGTCAACTCTCTAGGAGATGGCCTCCTGGGCCACAGCTGTTTCTCTTAAAGGTGTCATGTGCCAGATACTTAAGTGATAATGTGTACATTACAGTGCCCTCCATATGTTGTGGGACTTCAACTCCCATCAGCTCCTGCCAACGTTGAGAGTTGCAGTCCAGCCATATCTAGAGAGCATCATCTTGACTACCCCGCCCTAAAAAGGTTTAAGACCAGAGTATCTGGAAGATTGCCATCTCCTGTATGAGCCTGCCCACCTACAGAGAGGAGACAACCTTTTCTGTGGCTCTCCTAAGGCTCTAGAACTCCCTACTCCTCTTTAAAAATCTTCCTTTTAAGAAGGCTTTGCCCTTCTTTTGCTACAGTCTTCAACAGCGATGGCTGTGTCCATGTCCTGGAAGGTTACTTGGGACAAGTTTTGTAAGTTAACGAAAATAAACTGCAATGTCAGCAGAAACTGACGGATCAAAGATGCATGGGTAAAACAATCAGTTCATGGCAACTTGATAACATACTTTTAAAGGGGTTGTAGAATGCTCTTCCCAGGGAAATGTGCCTGGCACCGTCATGGTTGGTTGTTAGGTGCCAGGCAAAGGCATCTTTATTTAGCTGGCCCTTTGGTAGTTAAGTCAGGTTCTACTGTGCTACTCATTTCTTTGTGGATTAAACCATCTTAGCTGTGAATCTTGGAAGACCTCCTCCCTGTCTTGTTGGCCTTTCTCTGCCTGCTTGGGAAGGTAGGCCCTGACTGACTCCAGCTACAAAAGCTGAGGCTGCTGAAGAGGCCAGAGACCATCTTGGCTTTCTCTTAGCACAGACACAGGTCATTGAGCCTGAGCTCCCACAGCCACTGCCCACCGTGAACCACTATTGGCAGCAACAGCAGCAGATACATTCTGCTTATTATAATATTTTATTTTCTTGCTAATTATGATGTTTTAAATATGCACTTTATATTAAACTTCCTTTTCTTTTGAAATGTTTAAGATGCTTTTATTTCTGTTAGCTTTGCTGAATGTGCATTCTGTGGTTGACCTGTAGTTATTTTGAATTTTTTTATATAATATTTTAGTTTCCTGTTAATTAAGCTGCTTTGAATGTATACTTTATAGCTGGCTTTCTTAGGTAATGTTTTATTTTGGGTTGTTTTATTTGATGTTTTAATGTAGGTTGTAAACAGCTTTGAGATTCCCCCCCCCCTTAAAGATATAAAGCTGTATGGGAATTATTATTATTATTATTAAAAATAACAGAGTAAAACTTGTCCTTCCTATTATTTGGTTGGATGAGCATTTTAGGAATTTTGTCCTGCACATGGTTTGTTAATCATTTGGCTTTTAAGTGGATTTTAAATACAAATCTTAATCCTCAACATCTGAACTCTATTTCTGATGCATTGTGACCTGAATCCCTACCCGGTATCCAGCTTTGAAAAGAAACTGGGGGGGGGGGGAGGGATGGGGGACAGCAGCAGCATTCACACCAGGGGGTTGGTTCACAGTCCTTCCACACTCTTCCAACTTGGTCAAAACTGCAGCAAAGCCCCACGCTGAGACCTCTCTGTAGAGCAACCTGCCTTCTCTTCTGCTCAGAAATGTTCGGCAAGCATGCAGGGGGAAGCATGTGCCTTATTGTCGACATGCTACGACAGTGCCTTTATAGGATCAAATATTTGAACAGCTCCATTAATCTTGCACTTAGCTCCCCAGCTCCACAAAATTGCACTGCTATTCTGAGTGGCAGCTGAAGGCACAACTGCCTCGAGGCAGCCCTCCTCATGCCAGCACCATTATTTTCTCTCCCCGTTGTGGAGTCTGTGGCGCTCTAATCCCTCAAATGCTCTTGCGCAGAACATACCACTCCATAAAAACAATCTGGAGTACAATTTTCCTTTGTGCGTTGCTCATCAATAAAACCTAGCCACCCACCAAAGCGCTCGTGTTCCATTATTATCCGCTTTCATTTACCTTTTCATAAGCAAAGGCAGCAGTGTGCCTGAAATCTGATTATCCATTTCCTCATGTAATAAACTGCTAGGATAAGAGAGCCGAAGAATGATCAGGTAACAAAGAAACTTCTGTTACCATCTCTTCTCCTTGACATCGGGCTTCTCTCTTTGAAGTGGCTTTTAGAAATTAATTGCATGTATGTAGTTCAGCCAAAGGAACAGTTTATAGAACGGCAAAGAAACAGATTGATCAAAAGCGTAGCCAAATCCCAACACACACATCCAGACAAATCGTCTTAGGATGCCCAACGTGCTTTGGGGTCACCAGTGTTCCTTCTATAACAAGGGAAGCTATAACAAAACAGCTCTGATTGACAGTTTCTCTGGTACAGATTTAGGATGAGCTGAACTGTGTTGGAGAAACATCTCAGCTAGCTTTTCAGGCCAGACTCTCTGGATACATCAACAATATGGGTCATTTTACCACCCCCTCCACACATTGCTAACATATTATACTCTGTTCCTTTCATTAAATTGTTCCCTGCTTAATCTTATCTTGTGGTGTCCACCTCTTTAGTTCGTTCCCCTCACTAGCACAAAATCTATTTATATTCTGAAGGCAGCAGTCGGTCGCTTGTGTCCTGAGAACCACATGGAGCCCTCGGCCTTATTTCATGTAGGCAGCAAGAGGGAGGAGCAGCAGGTAAAGAGAGAGAATAGGAAGTGCTCTGGCCCCACCCACTACTTCCTCCAGCCCCCACTGACCAGGAGCATGTGGCCCTCAGAAGATTACCTCTGAGGAAATATGGCCCCTGGTGGAAATATGCCCCACCCCTTTGTAAAGGGATTTTCTCTCTCTCTCTCTCTCTCTCTCTGTGTGTGTGTGTGTGTGTATCTGCAACATACAGAATGCCGCTGCTAAAGCCTTGTACATCTAGCACTCAGAGGATGCTTCATGAGTGAGGTGGACTTCTCCATGGAAGTGCAAACCATTACTGAGACCAGTGCAAGTTCCTCATTGACCCCTTCCAACTGCTACTTGATAAAACTGGGCTAAGAGCAATTAAATGATTCCTCAATGTCAGATTCCATCTCCTGCATGTGGTGCATAGCTCAGAACCCTAATATTGTGAATTTAATGAAGGTAGGGATATATATATGTGTGTGTGTGTGTGTGTGTGTGTGTGTGTGTGTGTGTGTGTGTGTGTGTGTGTATACACCTATATATATTGCACTGAAAAGCAAAACACATCCACAAGAGGGAAATGGGCAGAAATTCCAAAATCTAACCTCATTAGCAATCAAGGATTCCTTTTATATCTTCACGACTTCAGTGTGATTATTCATTTAATGATTACATTAGCAGATCCTAAGATACAGTTTCACAATTATGGAGCCCCAATAAACAGGAGGTAATGCGGTATAGTAATCATATATGATTTCTAAAGTTTCAGAAAGTTGGGGAATATTATTATCTGCTGCTGTATTTTTAAACTGCACTTGCAGTTTACTTTTTGGTCCTAATGTTTTAAATGGTTGCTTTAATGACCATTTATACTCATGTATCTGCATTTCATTGATTTGTTTGTAAACTAAACTCTGGGATTTGTTTGAATGGCAGGGCACTTTAGAAGTGCAATTTTTTTAAAACATCAAAAATATATAATTAAGTAAAAGTTTCTGGTGACTTGTCTTTTGGGGGCAGCTCTCAAAATGCCTGTTGAGTGAGCATGTTCCAGGCTATGAAGGGGAAACGGAGACGGTTTTTGATGCTAAAACTTGCTTTTGTATTGCTTAGTGGTGACAGCTTGAATAGTGATCATCTGACAGTGCGGGACAGCGAAGCTATTTTATTGGTTTGTTTAAGACTAATAGACTGCTTAATCACAATGCTCTCTTGAGTGGCATACAGTACATAATAAAATTAGCAACAAAACAGCTGAAATCTGCAAAACTGCTAATGAAAAGAAGTGTACTGTATATAGAGCTGGTACGCATATATTGATAAGATGCCATCAAAGGCTCAGAAAGGAAGGCTCAAGTAAGGAAGGACTCCAGGAGGAGGGACTTTCACATGAAAGATGGGACATGCTTGTTTGCTCCTGCTCTGGAGGGAGGGACCCAAAACAATGGATTCAAGTTAAAGGAATGGAGATTCAGACAAAACATCAGGAACAACTTTCTGATGCTAAGAGCTGCTCGACAGTGGAACGGGCTACCTCAGAAAGTGGCAGACTTGCCTTCCTTGGAGGTGTATAAGCAGAGCTTGGATGGCCACCTGCCATGGATGCTTAAGTTGAGATTCCTGCATTGCAGGGGACTGGACTAGACGACCCTCAGGGTCCCTTCCAACTCTACAGTTCTATCATTCTATGACAGGTAGGGAATCAACAGCAAGAAGACTCTTCCCTGGCATCTCCCATTGGCATGAACACAAGCCGGGCCTCCACGACAGATCTCAAAGCCTGGACCAGCAGATAATAGAGAGAGCTGCTATTTCAAGTATTTGGACTGCTTTTTTTTAGCGCCTTGGGGGATCTTGTGAATGCTTACTGTGGCAATGTTTGAAAACCTCTTCTGAAAACTAATTACACAGGAGAGTGATAAGAGACAAGTAAATTTTTCTCCTTGTTCCACTTGGGTGTTCATGTTCCAATTTATATAGCAGAGAATGGTACTGTCATTCTAATGATGTGGACCATGGTCTGCAAATGCCTTTTCATGAAAACTAGACCAAAAAGTGGCAGGTTGCCTAATGCACCACAGGTTTCTATAATGACCAGCTATTTCCCCCCACCTAGTCCATTAACAGGCAGGATATGTGACCATGTCTGAAAAGCTAAAATCCTCTGTCCAACCCTATGACTTCCTTCCTTCCTTCCTTCCTTCCTTCCTTCCTTCCTTCCTTCCTTCCTTCCACAATGTGTTCTGTCAAAATATAATGTGAATATAACATTTAAAACAAGAACTAAGCAAAACAGCAGACTAAAAGCAGCAACAGGGAAAAGAGTTGTGAAATATACTCAGAGTCCTGCAGTGATTTCATGATCTTTGTTGCAGCTTGTAAAATAGTGATTGAATTTCCCCCCAAACCTCAGGCTTTTATGTACATTATTTACACAATGAGTCCCGTCTGATTGGCTGATTCTGCTTCCCTTCTGGAGCCTGACTGGTCTTCTCCTGCAGGCCAATCAGTTGTTGCATTCTATGATCCTACCAGCCTAATAGGCTGATTAACTTCCTCCTGGAGCCTGATTGGTCTTCTTCTGCAAGCCAATCAGTTGTTGCATTCTAGGATCCTACCTGCCTATTGTTCTAGGATCCAAGCTTAGTACATAACAAGTAGCATCCTGTCAGATGCTGTTGGTGGTTGCTTCTGAGTAACCAGGCAGGACTCTGACCTGTCTTTTACAGGTTTTATTGGTGCAAACTATTTACAGTGCAGAACCACAAAGTTCATGTCCGTCTTAGTCACTTGCAGAATCCGGGAGTGGCCCCTTCTGGGCCACCCCCAACATAAGAACTTAGACACCCCAAATCTCCGCCTCCCCTCCTTACCTTTCACCCCTCTGCGCAAGCTGGGCGACGGAAACAGTGTGTGTGCCTCCTGGCCAGCCGGGCTAGGTGAGGCGCTTGGGCTTTCAGCAGCATCTTTGAGCCCTCTTCTTGCTTGGCTGGCTCCTTCCCTCTTCTCTCCACTGGAGGTGTGGCTTTCCCCACCGCTGGACGAGGAGCTGCTCCTCAGAAGCGTCAGAGGCTCTCTGTATCCCCTCCCTCCCTCCCCTGTTCCAATGGCAGTCCCCTGACACATCCAATTACTCAAACATATTTTTAAAACTCTTGGGAAATGATAAACAAAAAGTCATGCTGATCACTCAGCTCTACTTTCCCAATAAAACTGAGTCAGGAGAGACTGTGCAGAAGCTGAACCAGTGCCAGGATGCAGTGGTGGACTAGATGGTGGCCAACAGACTGACTCTGAATCCTGCTAAGACAGAGATCCTGTGGGTAAGTAGTTCTCGGGTCTGAAAACTGGGGAGTCTGTTCTAGATAGGGCTACACTCCCTCTGAAAGAACAGGCATACAGTTTAGGGGTATTCTTGTAACCATATTTGTTCATTGAGGCCCAGGTGGCCTCTGTGGCAAAGCGTCCTTGTCATCAGCTTCAGCTCGTGTGTCAACTGGGGCCTTTTCTAGACAGGGATAATATGGCCACAATGACACAACTCCTGTCTACACTGTTGTAAGGTGGTTTTTGTTGAGCTTCCCTTGCAGTTGGTGCAGAAGGGTCAGGGGAGTGAGTAGTGCTCCTTATTAGGCTCATTTAGACCACTGCTGAGGATCTGCTACTTACAAAGCCCAAAATAACTCTGGACCAGGTTACCTGAAAACAACAACAACAACAACAACCAACCACCTGTCTTCCAACTCTGTGCCTGGTATGAGCACTATGATCAGCTAATGGAACCCTGTGAGTTTTGCCACATCCTGGATCAGTATCAGCTTCTGGCAACAAAGAGGTGGGCTTTTTCCCTGGTGGCACCAGTCCTATGGAATGCCGTCACTGCTGAAATATGATGTTGGCATTCCACCAACTCCTGAAGACATACCTGTTTAGGCACACATTCTCCTGAACTGAACTTCTGGTTTTACTCTTTTAACAGTTTGAATTGTTATACTTTTTACTGTTGGTTTTATTGTATGTTTTAATTAAGGTTCCATTTTTTAAAGTACGGATTGATTTTATCATTGTAAACCACTTTGAAGCCATTTTGGCAGAGAAGCAGCATATAGATAAATGATATGAGTAGCCTCTTCGAGAGCTAGTTTCCCCCAAAGCCACATATATCAGGATCGCTACCTCTCAGTGCTCCCTATTGCTCATAGTAGATAGCCCATGCTTGTGTTAAACTATTTTGTCCAGCCACACTCACTCTATTCCAGCACCCATCTTCAAATGGCTGATCTGTACATAGTTGACTTTTCCACAATTCTTCGCAGCCCTTGATGACAAGTGATTTAACAAAATTGCCAAAGATTTGAATTTTTTCTCGCTTGTGGGAATGCATACGAAATCATGACATTTCAACAGCATTTGCATAATGATGTCAATTTGTACAAATGTGGAGTAAGGACTCTGTGTCACTCGTACGGTCAAAAAGAAACGGAGAAGGGTTGGAAGCCTCTGTAGAACTGCCAGTTCTAGCTCCTCAAGTCTTATTAGAAACTTCAGGGCTAAATTCTTCCTCCTCTTTTACAGCAGAAGAAGTCCAGAGGAAATACTTCAAAATTAAAGATATGGCACTGGTATAAATTCACAGTAGCTGTTAGGATTGCAGCAAGCCTCCCACTTCCCGTGTGTGTGTGTGTGTGTGTGTGTGTGTGTGTGTGTTTAAAGCCTAAACTCTTTCCTGGACTGCATAATGAAGCCGCTTGGAGCTCAAGTACAGGAGTTTGTGTAAAACTCCTGCTGATCAAAATGTTAAGTTCTCCATTCTTCAAGAAGCAACACACACGCAGGGGGAATATTACATCACATTAAGGAGCAGGGAGAAATGGCAAGCTGCCTCTGCAATTCACAGGTATGGCAAACACGGCTGGAATCCCTAATAGGCACGTTTTTAATTTGATGGTTTATATTCCATTAGCATGCCTCATCCATCAGGCTGGAAGCGCACAAATGGTGCCACAAGATACACCACTTTGCATTTGTTGAGAGACTTGGGCTGTGAGATGCATTTAGAAAAAGCATATTGTAGTAGCCAAAATGAAAATTTAAAAAACCCTCCTTTACAAGTTCTACTCACCAAGGCAAAAAAAGAAGAAATGATAGGAGACAGTTCAGACATTAAGGGTGGCGGGGGGGGGGGGGAAGGGAGATGCATACAAATGAATGTACATATGTAGAGGTGGATATTATACATACACACTAGGAATGGACAGTATATTTGGCATTTCATAGCACTTTAAAAGGTAACAGTCTTCATGCCATCTCCCCCTACAGGTAGGGATGGGCAATCCTGGCCATTTTAGTTCCTCATTTTTCCAGCCTTAAGCGCAGCTCTCTGCCTTTCCATATCAGTCTAAAATTCTTTTAAAACACATATACACACATTTCTGTGTGGATTTCCCCTAATACACACCTGTATGCTGTTTTGCCAGATAGAAGACATTTTCTATGTCATTCTTATTTCTTCATTATTTCATGATATTTATATACTGCTTGATTGTAAACCCCCTCAAGACAGTTTGCAAAAACATAAAACAAAATTAGCATTAAGAAGAATTTGCAACCACAACTTAAAACTTACAAAAAGTTAAAACAACAAGAAACAAAAAACAGATGAAAACTTGCTCCACCATGTGTAGTTGCTACTCTGTTTGATACTTCGAAACAGAGGGAGGTGGGCTTTTGATTTATTCTTTACAAGGAATTTAATAAGGTTTTGCTATGCTCCCCCCCTCCACCTTGACCGAGGGTGGATGGATTTTATTTGCCACTACTTCTGGACGGGGGTGTTGTTGGAGGAATGCAGTGGGAGAAAGAAAAAATGGCCTGCAGCTAGACAGTTGTCGAGGAGAGGCTGAATCTGAGAAAAGATTTTGTGCCGAGAAATAATTGCAAAGGGGAATTAAATGGCAGAAGTCTGGAAAGTTCGCTCTGTGAGTTATATATGGCTGTGGTTCGCAAGTTAGATAACAGCAGGACAGAGTAAAATGTGACCTTGTACCACTCAGACAAACACTGCAAAGAATTGAACAACGAGAGACAGAACTGAACTCTTTTAACACACTAGGTCTGGAACAAAAATGTAAACAAAGGACTACACACGTGATATGGATTATATATACAAACGATGAAACTGAGGTTGCTGTTTGTAAGGTGACAAGGGGCAGATGAAAGAGTGGTTTAATGGCAAGTGAAGTGATGTCAACTAGAGACTAAATAAGAAATGAGGCAAATATGGAGAAATATCTTGGACACATGACGCAATGGAAGCGGGATACCTGATTTTAAGAAATTGTATTAAATTAAGGTAATTTGGTTTGATTTGTAATAATTTGGAAAATAAATTTTAAAAACCCCTTGCATAATCTTTTGAAATATCTGGGTAAGCTTATCGAAACAAAAATGCATTGAGCAGGCATCAAAAAGAGTACAGTGAAGACACCTGCCTGATATCCATAGGCAGGGAGTTCCCAAGTGTAGGTGCTGCCATACTAAAACACCAATTTCTTACAAAGGCAGAATGAGTATTATGTGATGTCTGTAACAGCGCTATTCTGCCAACTGAAGCCATTCAGTGGGTGTATATGGAGTAAGGCAATCTTGTAGGTAAACTAACACACACATGCACACATATATTGTTCAGACTTTTTCCATGTATATGCATTTTTTCCTACAAATTACTAGGCTGGGGAAACTGCTCTGCAACATTTAGATAAATGCGAATTTGGAAGAATGGCTGCGTTTCAGTCTGCGTCTTGTTCTGGCAAGTGTAAATGAGGTACGAGATGGTTCAGCTTTCTGCCCCATCCCTATCTACAGGTTTGCAAATGGAATAAAGATGAACATCTCCTAAGGCAGAGCTCCTGAGCTGACAAGGAAC